ATGAAGCGTTACACTTCCAGATTTATATGGCATCGACCTCATCGTCACTGTCCACCAGGTGAAACAAAGGTCAAATGCGCACTTACATTTTGTATAAAAAAAAGAGACATTATTATGCATGGTTATTGATTTTCTGTGTTGGTAAAATTACTTTTACTGACACTGAAAATTTTTAATTAAATGAACTTTAATTTGTTTTCCAACATTATTGATTTGTAGCGAATAGCAGTGTTATTATGATAGAAAAAACTACTTACTTTCTAATTTTGGTGATAAGATACAATTTTGGTGAGCACAGATAAATCACCAAAATCACCAAAATTGTGTCACCAACTGGAAAATTAGCAAAAAGTTATTTTAAAAAACACACTATTTAAGTTAAGGCAACATTAAGTATAGCATATCAAAGGTACCCAAAATCTACATTGAAAATGCACAAAGCATCATTTGAAACCTTATTTGTATCCTCGATAATATGATCACAAATTGCTCAGTTTTGGCCCCCATGTCACCAGGTATTAAGTACTTACCTTTTTGGCGGGAAAAGCAGCACGATCTTTGCACAACCGATCCCACTGCCCATTAGCGCGAACCTGAGTGGGGCGGGAGGTAGTAATCAGAAAGTTCTCGAAAGCTTACAGTATTTGCTAGTGAGCATTTAAAATTGTTCACCAAAATTAGGCTCCTCGTGCGGACGATTGTTCTTGGCACGATATTACTTCATATTAGACTGTTTAATTAATCATTTAATTAATTACAGACAGTAATATTCACTGAGAAGAGACACAGGTTGTGGACGCGTCACTAACATTAGAAATCAGGGCTAAAAAAATTATAAATATACTATATATAACGTCGACGTAGGAATTTTTCTTTAGTGGCTCCAGGTGAAGATTTAGGTATACTTAACTACAATAGTACATTATGATATAAGTGCGGTAAGTTGAAAATTACAGCCGAGGCGATATTGCTATAAGAAAGCAGAGGCTGTAATTTTCAAAGCGCACGTATGTCATACGACGTTTTATAACATATTTGCGAGGAAATAAATAAGATTGACTTTCTTAAACGAATAAATCTTTAATTACTTGTTAAAGCAGTTATAGAAATTTGAACAATTTTTAAAAGTGATTGTTACGTTGCCAGTTGGCATTTTTAATGTTGTCAAGTTATTATTATTAGTTACAATCTCCCCAGTCTCTCTCTCACTCTCTTGAGTGAAAGTAGGAGAAACGAGACCACAGAGTTCTGCAGTCGGTGGCGGCGGCGGAGGCGGTTGCGGCTGCGGCGACGATGGTGGAATGTACGCGTGAGTGCTCGTAGATGGTTGAAAGTCAACACTTGACTCCAAATTTATGTTCCTTGTAATGCGAGAGCTAATCTCTTCTTTATTTCTTATCGAGCCTTCTATGTATCCTTCGGCTACATTGCTTGACCGCCATCCTCCGTGGCGTTTTAGTGTCAATAAGTCCGCACCTGAATCGGCGAGCAATGTAACCGAGGACCTTCTGAAACTGTGCCCTGTGTATTCATGTGCTTGAGGCAAATTTAAGAAAGTGGCAATTTCTTTCGGCATTGCTCCCAATTTATTAATGCCAATGGGTTGGTTAGTGCATTTTCCATTTTGGCAATTTTGAAAAAATCTGTTAGAATTAGCTGTTGTTGAACGAAGCGCTTCGTATTATTTCACTACGTCGTAAAAAGGCCCCTGTATTGTGAGCGACCTTGGAATTTTATTTTTTGTGTTTTTCACCTGGACAAGAAGAACCCGCCCATGATTCTCGACATCATTAGTTGTTACGTTTGCCAACTCTTGACGTCTACATGCACCATTTATACCGAATATTAATACAACGTGAAAAGAGATAAAAAGAACGTATAAACACCTATATTGTAAAGAAATACGAAAGTGAAAGAAATTAATAACAATAATTTAGTTTCAACTGACCTTTGTTGCCAAATATCGCCAATCCGGAGCTTCTTTTAGGAACTTCTTGATATTGTCAACCGAAAATACTTTCGACTTTTTACTTACATGGCCATCTGAGCGTCTTTTTAGAAATGCTATCAAGTTGGAGTATGACTTGATATCAATACCATGGTTTGTTTTCATAGTGCTTTTTAGCATTGAATAGTAGCACCACAGTGAGCTTGACTTATATTTTTGAGAAAGTTCCATGAAATAGGCTAAAAACACATTTTCTGAAAATGAATTTGCATCTTTCCTTGTTTTCCATATGATGAAATTTTGATACGCTTGTAAGTATCTATCTATCGGTCGATTTTTCAGGTAAGAGGCTTAGAGTAGCCTTTTTCGCTGCGTTTAAGACTTGTGGCGGTGTCAAATTAATAAATTCATCACTACTTGACGACATTTTCAAATAAAAACAATACAGCGAAAAGAAAAAGTGCGCGAAATAATTTTTACTTGTCCACAAATTAGCCATGCGCGCGCATCAACGTTTTTTTTTTTAGGCAAAGGTATAAAAATAGCCAGTATTACTAATAAAGTAAATTAATATTTTTGTGTTTTTGTTACAGATAAATGGTTGTAATTTATTGTAAAAATTAATTAAATGAAAGAATTAAATGTTTATTTACTATATTTTATCTCCCTAAGTTAATTTTATTCATAAAATATTAACCACTTTTCTAACATAAAAACTCTTTGCAAAGATTTAAAAAAATATCGTTCATTTTTAGACGGAGCATCTTAAAAAACCGTGCATGTTACTTTATTAAAAAAAAAACTCGTGCGTTTTACATTACAATAACGCACTTGTGCGTTTTACATTACAATAACGCACAAGTGCGTAATGAAACACATTACGATATTGAAATTGGTGTGATTTCAGCCACTTTACGAGTAAATATGTTTTAAAAAATATTACATTATGTATTTTGGCAATTTATACTACGACTTTCATCCACGCCGCGCAAAAATCAGTTGGGAAAATCACTCTTCACATGGTTTATTTTTACTGATTTTTGCTGAAGAAAAAATTACTAATGTAAATACTACATTACAAAAGAAGGTAAGGTAAAAGAGGTATAATTTAAGTAATTAAAATGCTAACTACAAACATTATTGACTTTATTATATTTTACACCACATTTTTATCTTCATCCTGAAAAATTACATAGAAATCACATACGAGGTATTCACTCTAAGATGACGATATATACCTATTTTAATTGTTTATTACCTTAATATCTAAATTGATGTAACTATACTTTCAAGAGGTTGAAATAAAAAAGAGTGTGTTTTTAGTTTATTTATAGCCTCTATCTACCCCAAATAATCCTTCATTTCCAGAGCGATCTTGCTTTTTATTCTGCAAAGAAGTCTGAAACAAAAATATGTATATAGTAAGATAGGAGAACTAAATTTAAGACTGAGCCACCCAATGACAGAGTGCTGAAGCTCTATACTCCTATGTGAGGTCTTGCTTTCCGATAAAGAGCAATACCTCTCATGGGAGTAGTGACAGATAAAGAGGATGGGTACATACGGGAAGAAGCCAACATAAACACCAGAATATTTCAGCGTCTTTTCAAAATAGATTTAAAAAAATGTTTACATCACTGTGGAAATATAAAAGGGAGTAAGGGACAAAGGTCTACAGATTAGACCTTCGTTCCTTATGCTCTTTCAGATTTCCACAGTTGTACATATCATCAGCAGGAATTACGAAAACATGTTAAAAACAAACCTATCATTCTTGTTAAATATTCTATCAAAAAGGTTAACTGCGGGCACCAACTCGGAAATTGCTTTGCAAATGACAGCTACAGATTGAGCATGCAGAATATCTGCTTTGGCAGAAACAATAGCTGCCTCATCCTGCACCCTGCCAGCATTCACCTGCTGCAAGGATGCTTCGCATGCTCGCAGCTCCTCAATGCGTAAGAATTCCGCCCGGCTCTGCTCCAACGCTCATCAGCTCCCTATCATCGAAAAATAGATGTGATGTAATAAAGAGTGAGAAAGTTACTTTGTTACTGAGTTGTTTGTTTGAAGTATTTAGTTACTTTTGAGTACACTTGATTTTGTTACGCGTTTTTTTTTGTTACGCTTGAGTTGGTGTCATTGCTGGACCCTTCCAGCAATCCTAAAGGACACCAACTCAAGCGCACCTCTCTGCCGCGGTCTTTACCGCCGTCGACGCGGCGTAGATTCTCACCCTGCTTTTCATATCATTCCATACCTGAATAACAATAATAATATTGCATATTATAGTGATATGAGTTCTGGTACAATAACGGTGAGTGATCCACTCACTGTATCCTATTACTTCTCATTATGACTCACCTTAGCCTACTTTTTGGGATCTATTGCGGGGCCCTTCGCGTTAAAAATAACCACACACTCGCACCAAAGGCATGCTGATAGCACGCGCGAACGACGCCGAGCGAAGTCATCCTCAAGCCAAATCTCTGCGATTCGAACACCAGCAAAGATGGAGCTAGCTTACAGTGGTCGTTCGCCGTCCGACCGCATCCACAGTGGCTAAAATACGAGCATCATTATTAATTCTACATTGCTAACATTTAGAAATTAATAGTAGTTAGCATCAAGGTACGTTTCTTAACGTTTCGTATGAGCTGTAGCTTTGATTTCGTTGGATTTAGTTTTGGTTTAAACCTTTCAAATTGATAGCGCGATTGGCCTCCTGGGGTTTGTCAAATTCCATGGAATGTGTAGATTTATTCATGACATGCTCGCAGACTGCAGACTTAATGTAATCGACGGTGTAAGACATCAGCTATTATGTTTTTGACGCGGGTACAAATACTTCGCTTCGTTTATCCAAAATAAAAGAGACCTGGTTTGTTTCAAAAACAAATATACGCGATTTAAATGCGGAAAAATAGCCTATTTTCTATGTGTAACAATCGCATAAACCTAAGAACTCGATAAATATACCTTAATTTATTTCGCAGTTCTCAATAATAATATTGCCTGTGATGGCATTGGAGGTGTCTTTAATTGTATTACTAGCCTGGGAGATACTACTACCATGCGGGCAATGGTTTGATAACATTAACGCCGTAAAATTGATCGAAAAGCCTGTAAGTCCACTGTTTTATTTTGTTAATATATGAGTAGGTACAGTACAGTCGAAGACAAACTTGGCTCAATAAGCTATTTATACTACGCCACAGGACACTAAGCTATTTCTGTCTGTAGTCTGTACCTCCTCAGGCGTTATTAGTACAACACTACACCTTTCCGATGCTCACAATAAAGCATTTTAATAAAACTTATCAAATTTAATTTAAACGTCGTCGGATACAACCACCGGCCACTGAGGAAGTCGTTTTTTTGGAAAGTCCAATGACATTATTCTTTTGTCCTTGTTTGAACATTACCAGACATGCCAAAATTTTGCAGTTTAGAATGATAAATGAAAGTCGTAACAAAATCATTAAGCCATGGATAACACCTGGCCTATTGCGCTGCATGAGACATAGGGATAATCTTCATAAAAAGATTCGACAGTCTCCAGAAAATGAAACTCTCAAGCTAACGTACACTAGATACAGAAATTTTTGCAATAATTTAATTAAAAAAATTAAAAGAAACTATGAAAAAACTTTATTAGAGAACGCTGGTAACAATAATAAAAAAATATGGGAAGTGATTAAAAATATTACTAACACATCTAAAAAGAAATCCTCCGCAACAGAACTAATAAATACAACAGAACCTGTGAAATCGATTGAAAACGTCAATGAGTTTTATGTCTCCATTGGCGAAACGTTGGCGAATAAAATCGAAAAATGTGACAATCCCTTGCACAAATATATCTCTCATACTCAGCCGAACACGACACTAAACTCGTTTGTGTTATTGAACACTGACGAATCAGAAGTCGAAAGTACGATTTTGGGATTAAAGAATGTTTGCACGGTTGGATGGGACGGAATACCTAACCACCTTCTTAAGGAGAATAGACGTCTGCTCGTTCCGGTATTGACACATATCTTTAATTTATGTTTGAGTGATGGGATTTTTCCTACAGCACTTAAAAAGTCTATAGTACTTCCTATTTATAAATCAGGTGACCGCTGCGTAATCACAAACTACAGACCGATATCCATACTCCCGTCTGTCTCCAAGCTATTGGAGCGTATCATAAATAATAGACTGGTTAAATATATGGAAACTAATAACTATTTTTCATGTAATCAGTTTGGTTTTAGGGTCGGAAAGTCTACTTGCGAGGCAGTACATGAACTTGTTGACTACGTAGTTGAAAGTATTGACAAAGGGAAGAAAACAATTGGTATATTTTTAGATCTTTCCAAGGCCTTTGACACGGTCCCAGTGCCTTTGCTTCTTGGAAAACTTGAGAAATTGGGGATTAGAGGCAAACAATTAAAGTTGTTTCAGGATTACCTTTCAAAGCGTTATCAAAGTGTAAAAATAGATAACTTGGTGAGTGGTGACCTTCCAGTCACATATGGCGTGCCTCAAGGCAGTATACTGGGCCCTAGCCTCTTCCTCGTGTATTTAAACGATCTCTGTGACCTAAAGTTGACTTGCGGAAAAATAATCTCATATGCAGATGATACTGTATTATTGTTCTCGGCAGATACGTGGGAAGAAGCTCTTAGACACGCTCAACGCGGCTTTGATACAGTCAATCACTGGCTGAGAAACAATATCTTGACGCTAAACGCGGATAAAACATACTACATAAGGTTTACTATGCGCAGTACCCCTTCGCCGTCTGAGCCACTTTCCTTAATTGCACATAACTGCTGCAATGATCTAGTTTGTGACTGTCCATGTTTGGCTGAAACACAAACCTTGAAATATCTTGGCATAATTATAGACAACAACCTTTCCTTCCAACCTCACATACAGCTGCTTACTTCAAGATTAAGAAAGTTGATGTATACATTTAAAAATCTCAGGCATGTTGCAGGCGCCAAACTAATTAAACAGTTATATCTGGCACTTGTTCAGTCAATATTGGGATATTGCATTACGGTCTAGAGTGGCGCTTCAAAGACTATTATAAAACCCCTAGAAATAGCACAAAGAGCTATTCTCAAAATTAGCACTTTTCAACCATATTTGTTCCCTACACACGTACTATATCAGACATGTGAAGTCCTGTCGGTGCGTCAACTTTTTATTTTGCTAACAATTATTAGACAAAAGAAGAATTTAAAAATTAAACAACATTCCAAATTGTCCAGGCGTCGTAAAGCTATATCCTATAACGACATACCACAATTTAAACATAATTATGTTAATACTCATTTTTGCTTTTTAGGTCCACATCTATACAATAAAATTAATAAAATAATCGATATACATACAATAAACAAGATAGAATGTAGACATAGAGTAGCGGAGTATATCCATAAACTGACCTATGATGAAACCGAGAACCTAGTCAATTCTTCACAGTAGTCTCCCTTTTAACCCACACATCCTCCCACACACACACACACACACACATTCGTAGCCATTTTACTCACAGGGAGGTCTCCATCACATCTAAATTATGATAAAATTAAGTACTTTTAATTTCAAAGCAAAAATTCTTAGGATTTAAGACGACAATGTATTACTGGATGTCTGTTACATGTTTTTGTAATCACGGAAGAGCGCTGATGTCTGAAATACAGATAATTAATTATCTAGTTCAGACACAGATGTCTTGTCCTAAATGCATCGCTGGAATTTCAACAATGTCATTGTCAAATTAGCCTATAAGTTTGTGAAATAAATACATTATTATTATTATTATTATTATTATTATTATTATTATTCTTTATTGCATATTAATTCGTCTCGTTCGGCGTATCATCGCGGGCGCCTTTATTGCGAGAACGGAGGCAGTAGGTATTTGTTTATATTCAATGTCGAACGTTGTGAAGTATAATAATAGTAACGTATATGCAAGCTACCTTCTTTAAAATAAGTTACGCGTTATGTACGAGGAAAGTTTATAGCGTATTTGTGTAACTGCTTTTTCGGCTACTGACATTGAAGCTACCAAGATATTTCTTTTCGAATATCTGCCTAGTGCGAAGAAATAATTAGTAGTCGAAGAGAGAGAAAGTCATAGGGGCATATGGATGACATAATCCAAATTTTGAAGATACGGACAAACAAATTACCGTCGATAATTTGATCATCTAGATGCTACAAATTTCTTGAAGGATATATTTACTGCGTCCAGCGATACCGACGACGTTGTTATACGTGTCACGGCCTCATTATTCTACAAAGTCTGCCGATATTGTGGAGTATATACGGGTGAAAGCCTATGTTACCCTGCGGGTCGAGCAGTTGGGGTCCCGCCACTATGTAAATTTTAATTCATTTGTGGTGAGAGTACTATAACGGGGAACGTATCTTGGGCTTGCGTAGAGGTACTTTTTAAATATAATACTGGGCTATTTCCACGAATAGATATTTTATTGCGTATTAACTGATCGAAGCCTCGTCTAGAACTACCAAGATATTGTTCTTTTTTTTCATTTTATTTTTTAATACAATTCCAAACACAAACCTATATTCATTCAACCAGTATTTCCACTCATACAACCTAGACTACATCCCCCTTCCTCACAACTGAAGGGGTTAACATCCCTAGCTAGCGCCTACCTATGATAGGCCACTTACATATGTTGACTATAGGCTTGCTTCGCTGCAATTAGTAAATTAAAGAAAGGTGGTGAGCAAGATTTAAAGGCTGTTATAGAACGTTTGATGAAAAACCCTGAGGTTGCATTGGAAATATATTGGAAACAATCAAGACAGGGAAGAATAAGTCCATTATATTTACTCCTGATAAGGCGCTTGGTTTACTGCTATCACTCAAACTATCGAAGTGGCAATACATTACCTTACGTGAATCATCGATTCGGGAAGGAGTACCAAATATGTATCCATCTTATTATAAAGTCCAGCAAGCTAAGACCGCGTGCTATCCTTCACAATAATGCTTTACTATTACCGAAACCATGGCCAAAATTAATCTTCAATCTCTTCTTGATATAACTGTGAAACGTATACTAAAAATTATTTCAAATCAACCAATACAACAACAGTCTTAGACTTTACTGTCTAAGTGGGAATTTGATGGCTCATCAAGTGAAAGTCGTTACAAGAAAAAAATTGAAGATGGAGAAAGTGACGAAGCAATTTTTATGACAAGTTTGGTTCCATTAAAACTAACAGCTGGATCAGAAGTAGTGTGGCAAAATTCCAAGCCGTGTTCCACCATGTATTGTCGACCTACCCAGTTTAAATTCAGAAAAGAAAGTGAATTTGTGAAGTACGAGTAATGGAAACTAAAATAGAGACATTAATCCCTTCTGTTTGTGATAACATTCATGTTGTACATAATCTGGCTATGACCATGATTGATGGAAAAGTGTGCACCTATTTATCAGAAGCTCGTTCTAGTGCTTCGTGCTATTTTTGTCTCGCAAAGCCATCGAAGATGAACGATTTGGATACTGTCTTGAGTAAAGAAGTTTCAACAGAGATGTATAAATTCGGTTTGTCAACTTTACATGCTCAAATCAACGTAATGGAATGTCTATTGCACATTGCATATAGGCAAGATTTGAAGGTTTGGGCAGTGAAAGGAGAAGACAACAAAAATATTGTGCTGCAAAGGAAGAAGAATATACAAGATGATTTTCAAAAGGAGCTAGGTCTTCTAATTGATATCGTAAAACAAGGATCTGGAACCACCAATGACGGAAATACTGCCAGAAGGTTTTTTGAGTTTCCTGAAAAGACCGCCGCAATAACAGGTCTGGATCATGAACTTGTGCACAGATTCGCTGTCATTTTACAAGCCATTACATCTAGCGAAGACATTAACGTTGATAAATTTAGAACATATACACGTTCAACTGTAGAAAAATACCTACAATTGTACAGTTGGTACTTCATGTCAGCAACTGTGCACAAGTTGTTGATTCACGAAGCTGATATCATACAGAATTCAATTGTTCCAAACGGAATTTTGTCTGAAGAAGCATCGGAAGCTCGTAATAAAGACGTCCGCAGATACATGGAACATCATTCCCGAAAGGTCAGTCGAGAAAACTCCAATGAAGACATTATAAAAATGACGATTCTTAGTTCGAATCCTCATCTTTCTTCAATGAGGCCTAAAATGCACAAACTAACAAAAAAACAAACAAAACCTAAAGCAAGACACTCTAGCTTTGTTTATTTCTGAATTTATTTTAAAATTCTGTGACATTAATCTTTTCAATTATAGTGACACAGAATCAGATAAGTCTGATATAGAAGTTTAAGTTTGATCTAAATTTTCTTTATTTGAATTTTTCATATACTTTTTCCTTTTTTGAGGTTTTGTGGATTTATATTTTCTGGTCTAGTTTATACAACCCACATATTTATTAAATTAGCCTGTGTATCAAATTTAGTAAAAAAATTAATAGGTATTTTGTAATTAGTGTTAGTTTTTTAAATTTTGTCAGTAAGAACTTGTGCTAACCCAGTAACATGACCCTTATATTTCTGACAGTGTCAAAATAAGGATCTGAGATTAAGTTTCACAATAGGAATTAATAGATTCAGATGTTACTTGCGAAAGTCCATGTTATTACTAATGGGAGCAAATCACTTTGCTACTCCGCAAACCCGATCTAGATTAAATCGTGTAACGTTGACACACGTGTGTTGAATATTTTTTCAAGAAGTTAATTGTCTCATCTTCCCTCCACACCCAAGCAGCACACCCACATCTAAATATATACTATAAGATATCTAATAGAATTTAATTCAATTGAATATTTTAAGATTTCAAATTCCCCTCAAGATATCTCGAAGGTTTCTAGATAATTTAAAGTAAAAGTGGGCACAACTTTATTAGTAGATCACAAGAGTGCTTTGAGAAACTATCTGTAGGTAGTGTTAAGAGTGATTCTTATCTTTTTTCTCAAGTAACCTTTCTAGAATGCTACAAGATCATTTGTAGAATGTAGACAGTTTTTATTTAGTCTTGTAGATAGTTTTTAGATAATTTATAATCTATGATAGTTTTTTTAGTAATACTATTTTAAAACCAAAATACTAAAGCGTTACAAACATAAGACGCAATTCTCTTAATACTAATAGATTTCAAGTTAAATGGCTTACAAAATATAAACTATCAAAATTGCAACATGGCGAAATTAGATAATAATATTTCTGACTTTTTCGCGCAATGTTTAATCGGTTAGAAAGCGCGAATTGACGTGCAACTTTAAATAATTGTGAAAAGTGATGTAAAACCTGTTATAGAAGTATGCGCTTGCTAAATTTTAAATATTTATGTATAAGATATAAACTTAATAAAAATACAATTATCGATTTTCGGTTTTAAATATTTGTAGAATACTTAAATATACAAAATAACTCACAAAACAAACTATTTCCAAGAAGTTCTAGGCTTCTTCAAGATAATTTCAACTTAGATTTACTTCTTAAAAAGAAAAGAAATGTTTCTCAGCTACTTCATAGTCATTCTTTAAAAATAAAAATGGCGGTAAGAATTTAAAGCTTTTTTCAAAACACTGTTGGGAGCATTTTGGCTATAGCTTTATCTATAGAAAAACTTTAAAATACGAAAAGATTATTTTCACTTGCTTTATGTAGTTGATCTTGTAGAAGAATATTCCCGCCTATGAAGCTTTTGTGATTGTCTACAAAACGCGATGTTTTTAAGCGATTTTTTCTTTTGACAGTATTACAAAACCTTTATAAAAGTTAAATAAATAAAATTTTTAAAATAAAATTAAATAGTGAGTGTAGTATGCAATAAAAAACTATTCAAAACACTAGGTAAAAAAACAATTAAAGAAATCCAATTTATCGCAAAAAAACGTTATTCTGTATAATTGTATGGAATGTGTTATATATGACTAGAAAGGTGGATAAATTCCCTATCATATAAATATAAGAGATATTTTAATGACATACTTAACTTATGTTGGAAGAAATAAAATTTTCATTACAAAATTGAGGTTATTTCTTCACGCCAACCACATTTCACACAATGATTTCACTCTATCATATTCTATTTAAAGACGGCACAATACACATACACAACATTAAAGTGCAGTAGTTTACGCGCTCATTTCAATTATTTTTATCACTTATTTGTCAACAAACAAATGCCGGCCATGACCGGCCCGAGCGCGAATTACGACTATAGTATCCAGTGTTGCCAATTTGTGGAGAATTCCCCAATTTGTGGGGAGTTTCAACTAGATTGGGGATTTTGTGAGGATTGGCGCTATGTGAGGAAAATTTTATCACTTTGTTTAATCTATCAATTGCTGATGAATCGCTAGTTTGATCGTTACTGTTAGAAACGCTGTGATGGACTATATCGACGTGTTTTACAACATCGCACATCCCTCGTATTATTAACAAGCAGCTTAAATAGAATTATTATTAGAGCACTTGGTTCTGAATTGTAAAATTACCAGTCGGTGCGTGTTGAGTTCGCGATTCTTTCTTCCGCTTAGACCGGTCCCCGGTATGAAGCAAAACGAAATCAGGTATTGATAAACAAAGACGAGCAGTTGGTACACCACAACTTACCACTCGTCAACTTTAAATATTAAATATAGGTCGAAACTCATTGATTATTCCTAACATTAACACCACCAAATACACAAGAAATAATGAATTTACTTAGTTTTGTAAGGCAAAGAAAAATGATTTTTTGTTCAGACTGATTACAGATGAATGTTGAATCTAATTAATATTATAATTAATTTATATTGATGCCTCCGTGGCCGAACGGTTACCATGCCGGACTGCCATGCAGAGGTCCCAGGTTCGATTCCCGGGTCGGGAGAAATATTTGTATGGTCCACATTTATTTCTCTCGTGAGTTTGGGTGTAATTTGTGGTTGTCTACGTGTGTGTCCATGGCACCCGCGACACAGGGTTTCCCTAGTGCGGGGCTATGTTGAGTGTGTACGTTATTAATATTATTATTAAAATGAATAAACGATTTAAGGTCATCTAATTTTATAATTAGTTTTAGTTTTCACATTCTGTTTACATTGACAGCAAACGCAATAGATTATTACATTTTGAGTTTCTTAATTCTTTATTATATTTTTAAGCGATATATTTCTAATAAATAATGAAAACTCGAGATGTGGGGAATTTGTGAGGAATATGAACTTTGCTCTCCCTAAATTTGGGGATTTTAACCGTGATTTTTGGGGATTTTGAACAATTGGCATTGGCAACGCTGATTGTATCGCATGATGTCACTTAATATCCAAGGTTCACCACCTCCACCAGATCTTTTAATATTCATTACTTTATCCATTTTGCATAAACTCTTACAACGTCCAATAGAGTAAAAACCCTAATTGTAGTATTTTTTTAAATAAAATTTACTGAAGACGCGCTATAACGTGTTTGTCAATAAGTACAAACACTACAGAATGTCTATAAATTAAATATATCTAGAATAAACTGAAGGGCACTAGTTTTTAGAGTATTAATAAACTTTACTGAATGTGTATAGAACAATTTTACTAAAAATAATCAGTTGTTCTACACATGAACTTAAAATAAGGACTATAAGAGTAAATCTAAAGAGAGATTACACTTAATTAAGTTGTTTGGTATTAAGGTGTTAAAATTTTGACTTGAGTGAAATAAGTCTATAAGAACAATTTCTTTTTTCTAAAACCATTTATAGAGAACTATTATCTAAATCAACACCATATTAAGACTGTTTATAGTTATAACAGTTTTCAGGCGTATAAAGTGTGCTCCTTGGTCATAATATTTTTTAATCATAATATCCTCTCAATTCCACAATTTTGAGTTACGACAGAATTCGGTTTCGTATACGAGTTATGGCGACAATGAGGTGTAAATTTCGTCGGCAGAATAAAGATGCTTGGAAAACGTGATGAAACGAAAACGAGAAAATAAAAATTGAATGATTTAGTTCAAACTATACCTACCGTTAACTTCTAAAGTAAGCACGCTTACGCACTGCATCCGATTTGTATTCGTTACGAATCCGAGACTACACAAAGCTAGAAAACTCGGACCCAATTCGAATGTCCGGAATCCGAGAACTTACGAGTATCGCTTGCACAGTTATAAATAAAATGATCCCTGTGACATTTCGGACCGTCATTTGTCGGATTCGGAACTGGGGGTCTACTCTCGATCTCCGTCCGACATTCGTCCTAAACCACTACTGCCAAATAAGCAATACTTGACCAAATGAAAAGACGCGTGATGCGAATGAAGCTTCATACTGGATGCTTGTCTTTTAATTTTGTCGAATATTACTTATTTGACAGTAATTGTTTCTGACGGATGTCGGACGGAGAACGAGAGTAGACCCCCTGATACGAATCGGACGTAGTGCGCAAAAGCTCTAACAATAGCAATTATAATTTGAAAGAAATAAAGCTGCTAAAATTTTAACGTACTTTTCTTTCCCCTTGGATTGAAGTACAGTTAGTTAATTGAACACGTGTCATCTATCGACGTAATTTTACAATGTTTCAATAAATCGATCGCTATCAATGTACCTATCCGTTTACAAAAATAGAATTTAGGTTTATTAATTTCTGTATTATCCTAGGTCAAAGGCCTTACGCTATCCGGGGACCAACGCACAGATGCTCTAATTGTATTGATATCTACTTATTCAGTACTGATTATACTAAAGGTAGTCATGTTGTTTGAGTTTTTTGCCTGTTTCTATTGCATTTAAAATTTCTTATTTAATAGAAAATAAATATCATAATAGATGTTTATCATTCTTTCTTTTTGTTTTGCTCCTTCCTTAATATGTCATTCTGTCAATTTGTATCAACGTTTTTCTGTTTTTTCTCGCTTTTCTTTTTGTGTTGTGTACATATTATTTTTTCTTTTTCAGTTGTTGGTCATAATTATTTTAGTCTATCAGATCTGCTCAAATCTAATAAAAAAAAGAAATGAAGAAAATGAACAAGATGAAGAAGATGAGGAAGATGGAAAATATAAAGACGATTATATTTGCCGAAATCGTGTCACCTGACAATCTAAGATGGAATTCTGTCCTATTACATGTAACATTATATTACAAAATCTTAAAAAATGCGTTTTATGATGAACAGTTTTAAGGTAACAATATGCCATGACAAGTCCTACAAATGCCTTAGTTCCATTCTATCGAATTTATTCCCTCTGTAAGTGTGTGTGCAAAAAAAGAATACAATTGAAAGTTGACCTTCAATCGCAAATACTTCCTAATGGAGGGAGAGTGAAAGAAAGAGAGAGTATTTTAGGTTAGTAATATATATATCTTTTTATTCTTCTGTAATGTGATTTTGTGTTGTTCAGAGATAGTCAATCAGATCTAGAATAAAAAAACATGATTTCATACCAAATTTTCCATCTCAAAATAAATTATTTTTGTTTTCGTTCGTACTGTACTGTGTTGCGTTTCCTTTCACTTACATATCTCACCGTCTTCATGTACCTACTTCGTACTTTGTAACAGTTTTCAAACTGTAAATATTAAACACATAAGAACTTTAAAATAAAGATTTTTGTTTTTTATAAGAAAATAATTGTGCGGGTGACCTCCATCTCTCCTGACGTAGTACGACGATGAGGTCGATGTTATAGCATGCACACTTAAGAGCTCTCATGCCAAAAAAGTTTTGACGTTGGCTCCGCCCAAATTTGTGAATATATGTCTGAGATGTTGAATTTTGCGCATTAAAAGTACCAAATTCGTTTTAGCGGAAAAACTCTAACACTAAAGGGATTAAAAAAAATCCGTAGTGACAGTTGTCGATCATGCATAAATATAATTAATTATCTAATTTTTGTTCTAATAACCTGTAGCATTTCGAGGATAAATCGAAAAAATGTGAAAATTAGAGGTCTAGGCCTCAAAACTAAAACAAATGAGCGTAAAAAATAAAATTTAGATACTATTTTTAAAACTAAGTAAATGTTGATTATATTTGTATACTAATATTATATTAGTTTGACCTGAAAACGTGTTCGGAAACGAAAGCAAATTGGCTTCTGCTTCTTCATATACTAATCTAATTTACAGAATGGAGGACGCAACCAAGAAACCAAGATTTACCAATATCAAAAGATATACTGATTATAAATGTCATCAATCGTTAAAAAAATAAAAATATATAGGAAATGAAACTATTTTTCCGGATTTAAATCGCGTATATTTGTTTTTTCAAACAAACCGACGTTAAGAACTAAGAAAAGGAAAATATTAAAAAAAAGAGGATCAAATGTTATTTTTGAATACCAAATATTAATTTAGTATGCGTAAACTAGAGATGCGCCGAGTACTCGGTGTACTTGGCCGTTTTTTTACTACTCGCACTCGGCCGAGTAACTCGGTTCATGAGAAGAGTTACTCGGTTAAAATAAAGCATTACAGTTATAGACATAATAAAGTAATACCAATAATATACTTAAAATAATCAAAAGATATTTGTTACTACAAATTCTAGACAATTGTAACAATTTGTAGCAATTTGTAGCAATTTAGTAATTTAAAAAGAAAGTTTACATTATTAATATTTAAAATTTAACAAAGGCAAGTTATGATGTAGAAATACAAGGCTTTCTGTGCGTTCAGGTAGTAGTCTGTTCCTTTTTTCTTCATACACATTACCCGCTTCGGAAAATAACCGCTCGCTATATACAGTGCTTGCAGGTGCACATAAAAGCACTCGTGCTAACTGTGCCAGTTTTGGATATCTTGTTTTATGCCCTGCCCACCATTGGAAAGGACTCTATTCTCGCGACAATAAACTTTCATTGACATATCGGTCTAATTCTAGAGAAATGGGACTTTTAGGATCATCGCGTTCCGGTTGTAATGAACCGAGCAACTCGGCCGAGTACTCGGCTCGGCAAATGTTAAACCGAGTAATATACGGTACTCGGTTTGGTACTCGGTAAAACTTGTACTCGGCGCATCTCTAGCGTAAACGTAATGATAGTGTCACTTTGCATAAAATAATTCATTTATATTTTATCCGTAGAAGACAATTATACTAAGCTCATTTTATGGCAGGAACAATAATTTTAATACACGCTAACCATTGAAGTCGATTAAATATTGAACTACAAATTAAAGGACATAAATATCTTATGCTGGAGTTATTTTACTATATTAATATTTCGCGGCTATACTTGAAAAATCATTATTCTAAATAGGTACATGCTCCGCTGTGTCTTCGATTCAATCAATCGCTTTAGCGCTTAAGGAGGTTCCCATCACTAAACAGTGTGTCTTCATGGAAGTACGATTTAATGGCGAAAAAATAACGTATAAGAAAAAATAATATTTTAAGCAAAAGGTGTTTCAAGGTGATCTTTTTTACAATACGTTGGTAGACTAAAAAAAAGATTTCCCAAGCAAAAACGCCTGACGTAACACTTATAGCAATGCTGCAGCACAGCAGTTTTTAAAAGGCTCTTGTTTGAGTCTGAACACAGCGCTTGTGACGTCATAGGAGGCACAAAAATGTGGCACTCTGTTTCTATTTAGATATACCTGTGGTAAACACTTAATTATTTCCACTCGCAAAATTGGCGCCTTGACCCCCGAGTTGTGGATTGCCCGTTACATCAAGCACATACCAAATACACTCAATTATCTTCCTGTTTTGGTCTTTCCCATCTGGTATATAAACTACCTATTATACTCCCGTCTCGACCTCGAGATCAGTACAACAAATATAGATATAACACATGTAGTAACACATAAGTGACACCACTCTTCACTGTAGTTGAGAAAAACATTTATTTTCATTTGGGGTAGTTTTAAGCTAATATCGCCATATAAAACAGTATCGGTTCGCGCTCGCGTCATTCACATTTTAGTGCTCAACCACTCAAAATTCTGTAAGTAACCAACGGTAACAAAAGTGTTCACAGTGTATAAAAATGCCAAAACGCAAGCAAGAAGAAGAAGAATTATAAGCACCTCTTAAATAAAATGAAAAAATTAGAACGCAAAATGAATGATAAGCGTATTATTTCAACATCGTCAGATTAAGACGATTTAGTGCGTCCATCACATTCAGATTCATCGAGTAATGCAACTGAAAATTCAGGTATGTACCACTAACAATAGATTTCATGCACATTTATTTTGCTAAAATACCGTTCTTTGCATTCTTGAACAATCATTGAGGTTGTTCACCGCAAATTTTCAAGAAGGTATTATTTTTAACCGACTTCAAAAAAGGAGGAGGTTCTCAATTTGATTGCGTTTTAATTTTTATTTGTAACTGTTCGAAATTAACGACATACCTTTGTCCAGTGTGCGTAAACGTATTTACGTTCGAAATTGGTAAACTGAGCTGCCACTGGGGTTGACTCGACACACATTTTTTTATGCTCCTTAGTAATATAATATTGGGTCTGGTATTTACCTGTTTACCCACATACTAAAACTGTATTACATTTACAGTTATGGCCGCTATCGGCCCACTAGACTGTCTACTCGAAGACTCGCAGAATATTGAGCCTTTATCAAATGACTCGAGTATTCATGCCGCGACTTTCTAGAAGATTTCGGATTTCGGATTTCTAGAAGAAGACCAGTCTGGGGGCGGCACAAAATGAACCAAGCACTTCATCAGCTATTGCTATAGAACAAAATGCTGAGGGACAAAACGAGCCAAGTACATCTTCGACCACAGCTCAGGGACAAAGTGATGCAATCCAATTAGAAAGTGATGTTCTTGAAATATTAGGCGAAGACCCTTCGACATTGAAAAATTCGCTCCTGACATACACACTGAAATTGCAAGGCGTTTTGAGTACATTGCTACTGAGGGTCTCAGCAAGAAAAAGCGTAAGGAATTGACCTCCAAATATCTAACACCAGCAAATTGCCCCCATATTAGTGCTCCCGGTCCAAATCCAGAGATTAAAGCCGCAATATTAGAAGCGTTTATCAAACGTAATGAAGGCATCGAAACAAAACAAGCTCAAATGACGAGCGCCATTTCCTTGAGGTAATGTCATATCATTTTAATTGCAAAGACAAGAATAATGACATGTTATCCAAACTAATGGATATGGGGCGCCTACTCTGCGATATTCAGCACAGCGACTCCATCACTCGGCGAAATTTCATTTTCTTTAATTTGAAATAATCTCAGTACAGAGTACTAAAAAAACCGACTTCAAAAGTACGTGAATTTCGCGAATTACGTGAACGTCTATTTGCTAAGTTTTATTGAAATTACCCCCTAGTTCGCCACTATAAGGGACTTGACACAGGAGACAAAAAATCGGTTCTCATTACTCAAAGTATATTGAGAGAGAAAAACGCCTTAAATTGGAGAATAGCAAAACCAACCATTAAAATAATTGCTCCTTAAGTACAATTTAGGCCCAATTTTAACATCGATAAATGAAAAATAGTTTATTTGTACCATCACAAACTACAAAATTCTTGTTACATATATCTAATCTAAACTAGGTCGAAACCTGTGCTATAGCTTCCAGGCCCCCCCACCACGGAAATAATTATGAATTACTTATAAAAATGAATGTTCATGCGTGAACAACCACCCTTAGAGGTAGATGATTTTCTTCAAAATGAAATGGAACCACTATGGAGGTACTCTCTTTCCAACAAAAAAAGAATCATGAAAATCGGTTCACAAATACCGGAGTTATCGCGTAACACACATACAAAAAAACATACATATGACAGTCGAATTGAGAACCTCCTCCTATTTTTTTAAGTCGGTTAAAAAGAAATGAAAGAATATTTATCAAACACAAAAATTGACAAAAGGCGGTGTCAAAGTCCGGCACTGAATTAAAGTCTAGTCAAAAGAAGGTCCCTAAGGTCTCAACCTCAACACCTAAGCCGTTAAACCGCAGAGCTCCCGCCCCCGCGCGCAGGCCGCCAGGGCCACCAAAGAGGAGCCGCGAGCCTGTAGCCCCGCACGCGCCACCTCCC